AGGAGATCGGGCTGAAACTATAGCTACAAGCTATCCAAGGATGGTACTATAGAATGTCACCTCAAGGTAGGCCTAGTGGCGTCATCTCTTGGTTAGGCCGGAAACTTATCAATCCACCCTCGTATAATTATTAGATTATAAGGAACTCTATTACGAGTTTTGATACTTTCTTTATAAGTACTTATTTTTTAATACATTTAGATTAGGTAACTTTAAAATTATGTAATAATTTAAATGGTACTCCTTTCTTTACAATAACAACTATTTGTGCACACTGCCAATGCAGCTCGGCCTTAGAGAAGTGTTTTGTGCCTTCGCCGCGATTCAGCCATTGAAACGATGTGTCTCATTATTTAATTGTTGAACCTATTTTTCCGGAGCAGAGAGCAGGTTATAATGCAGTCAGAAACGATTCGTTTCTATTGCGAAAATTTGCTGATGGCAACTTCTCCAAATAAGGTTTTCTTCGAGTTTTGTGAAATGCTACAAAAGGCGCGGTAAACGCCATCCGTAGTACAATGCTACATTTTACAGATCACTTTGTATCCAGCCGTAACTCACCACTACGTGATAGGCACGTTACCATAATCGAATAAAATAATTCGAAGGATCTGTATTCTGTCGAAACTGCCAGACGCGGATCGCGATTTCGATCTTGTCGGATCTCATCAGCGCGTCAGAGATAGTTTCGACAGAACACAGACTAACTTTTACCTGCTGTTTTAACAGTGCGTTTTAGAAAATACTACAATGGCGCAGTAAACGCCATCTGTAGCACAATGATACATTTTAGGATTACGTATGCTCCAACAAGGTCCACTTGTGTGGATATCTACTTGATGAAACGAATCCCGGCGTAGTCAACCTCAACGTGATGGGCACGTTAGCTTAATCGAATAAAATAATTCGAAGTGGTCAGTATTCTGTCGAAACAGCCAGACACGGATCGCGATTTCCATCTTGTTGGATCTCATCAGCGCGGCGCAGACAGTTTCGACAGAACACAGACCAACTTTTACGTGCTGTCATAACAGCGCGTTTTGTGAAACCTACAAATGGCGCGGTAAATGCCATCTGTAGTAACCAAAATGGTATTTTGTTAGACTTATGGTTTTTGCACACTTGCAATTTACAATATTGTGATAAGTACATATGTCAAATCTTCGAACCTATTATTAAAGTTTAATAATCAAAGAACTGAGTACATATTGTCACTTTTTTTTAACTTCCCATTAGGAAGTTATTGTAATTGGGTCGAAAAGTGAAATCGGAATTTTCATTATATTTCCACGTTTTAACATATTAGTAGCATGCTAGCCAATTTTTTTGATGATGTGTGTATGTACGTACGTACGTACGTACGTACGTACNTCTTCGTCTACATACACATACACGTAGATATAAGACGTGACGTAGCAGTAAAAAAGAGTATAAAAGAATTTGTCGGTATCAATACGTATTGTCAAACACTGAAGCTTTTGTATCTTTCTACTGGAAGGTATAAGCGTTGATCAGACAAATTTGATAGTTGTGAAAGATAAAGTTATGCGTAGGTCATCATAATCATCATCATCATAGAATCGTCAGTCTCGAGACAGGTTGCAGACGTACCTCCACTCTTTCCTATCTTCAGGCCCCTCTTTTCTATTGGGCACTCTGAGTAAGTGCCCAGGGCCCCACCATCAACGGAGGCCCCCTATATAGTTCTGTCAGATCCGTCCGCCAACCAAAACTCGATAATTATTTTAAGAAAATTAATCGATAATTGCTGTTAGAATATTTACTTGCACAATCGCTTTTGCATGCTATAAACGCGAGCATACCCAAATGTAGGTGATTATTCAAACATTTATATATTCTGAAATTTTATTACTTCGAATCGCTCTCCAAAGAGAAAAATACAGAATCTGATTACAAGGGCTTGTCTCAAAGAATAAGACTTAGAAGTTCGCGCCAGACATTTTTTGATGACCCTGCACCGATAGTCCAACTGAGTTGGGAAGAGATATTAAAGTAAAAATACCTTACTTCCAATAAGTGATATCCCAAGCGTGCATCTAAAACAACGATTGAGTTTGTACAAGGAGATTGGTTATTGTTGACATTGTTTTTCGCTTGAAAACTCCAAATCCCGAGACAAAGTTGCAAAGAATTTGCTACTATGAAGATGTTAACGAGAAAGAGTTAGAAATAGAATGTCTTTATTTGGCAAACTAATAGTATTCCAGAAGTTTTGATAAAAAACCGAGTTGGAGACACATTTCCAAATGTAGATATTGCATTGAAAAATCTTTTTAACCATGATGGTAACCAACTGTAGTGACGAACGCTTCTTCATTAAACGGAAAAGAATAAAAAATAAGTTAAGACGAACAATGCTTCATGAAAGATTGATCAGTCCATAGAATGGGATATGTTCAAAGACAAAGAGTTTGAACAACTGGTTGACGATTTTGCATATCTGAAAACTACAAGGGTGCCTATTAAAAAAAAAAAACAATTTTGCACCAACCTGAGAATGATAGAATTACNTACAACTATAACTCTTCTATCTCTGTAACTCATTCTTCATTATTGATTCCCATACCGCCTGTACTTGGATATCATTTTTCACCACAAACTTTTTTGTTGATTTCGATAAAGCAGTTCATACTGCAGTGCAATCTGTTTTCACTAAATCAAGGATAGGACAAATCTGGTCTCAAAAATTAATTCTCTTGGTCTTTCCACTTAGTATAGAACAAAATCAAAGGTAAAAAGCTTTATTTAGTACTTTTTTCTTTTCCCATATCTTAAACTCAACGATTTCGTTCATGTTTTCAATAACTATTTAATGGCACTTTATCCTGAAGAGAGTGAATAATTTTTGTGATTATATACTAGAAAATTATGTATCTGAGGAGGTAGACAGAGTTTGCTTATTCGACTTATATATGATGGAATTTACGTATGAGAATAAAAATCATCGGAACGGAATTTACACTGAAATGTTTGCACGGGACGGAATTTACCTTTTCCGCATAGGAAACAAAGTGACGAAAGGAATAGATTTTCCATTGTTTTAGTTTTAGTTTAGTGGAATTACTCCAGTTTTCTAGAAATGTGAACATTAGCTCAAGATAAGAAAAAATGGACGTGTTTGACCATCGCTCTTCAGGTTGAAGACCTTAGAATAATAAGGTTGACAACCCTTGGGAACAAACGAAATGCGCATAATATGCACTTTATATTTTTAAGAGAATAAAATTAGAAGCAGAATCGACATCAATACTATTATTCCGTTTTTGATTCTCTTTTGAAATTGCAGAAATTCGCTGGTGATGACGCGGACATTTCGACAAATTATGTTTACTTAGCCTATGTACTGTAGCTTCATGGGGTGACAATATACATTATGTTGTGTTAACACTTATTAATTTATTTCCAACACTGTGGAGTTTCAAAAATTGAGTAGGTACCTTAATAATTATTTCAAATGCAAACATAAGTAAACGTAGTGCAAGGATTAGATAATTAACTATGTTATAATATGGATATGTATCATAGAAATTAATTTATGACTTACCAGTATATTTCCAGAATGTATTATGACTCGAAGGTTGACAAATTTTTCACATTTTTCATTAAAACGGCCTTTAATTTCCAAAGTCAATCCTTCGTATTTAAAACTGAAAATATAAATATTAAAGTAACAAGTTCTTCCCCCCTATCAGTCACTGCGAGCTCGAAACTGTTTCCACCATTGCTTCGAGTGGTCGAAATTCACTTTTGTGACCAATTTGTTTAATAACTTTCTTTGTGTTAAAAATTGTTTGAAAAATTAAATTTAAAGGAATTGTTTGTAAATAGGTATGCAACACATCGTACACTTCAGCATAAGAATTNAGTAGAGCTAGCAATTAATTAACCTACCACATTGTTGAATAGTTTGTATTTATGATTAGTGAGAGACAAGGATTATGACGTGCTATGAATAAAGTAAAACATGCAAAGGATTTTTGATAAACAATTGGAACAGTTTTATTTTTTTATTTTTATGCTGGGTTGAGTTAGGTACCTACCCTAGTGACGAAAAGTGTACGTCATTTTTTATAATCGGGTCGCTCTCTTCCAAAAAACGTTTTGCCTTTACAAATAAACTACTAAGTTTGACGGTCAGCGTTTCTTGCATGGGTAACACACTCATGTCTGAAATCAAATTTACAAAATTTTTAACCGGTGCAGCATAATATTTAGTTTTTGGCGTAAACATATTCGTAATGTAAAGCCTAGCTCTCCGAATACTTTTTCTATTTAACTTGTATTTACTCTGTAGATGACGTCATAGTGCCCTATTAGTGTTAATACCGAAAATGAGTTCTGTCAAATACGAGAGGCCTAAAAAACATTTCAAGCATCTGGAAATTGCTGATACTAACTACGTAATATTACTGTGCCCTGTTCTGACAGCACTCATAATTTCTTTTATATATAATATTAGTATGAAAACTATGTAAATACTACTGTCTGATACAGGACACACATTTACATAAAATGCTTATTGAATTAGACACAACTTACTTTAAATAGTTGACAACTGTTCCATGTTCTTTTGTTGACATATTTTTTAAATTTAAGTCGATACTTCCGAAAAAAATACTGCCATTGAGTTTACCAGTTGCTTCATTAACTTCGAATTCCGTCTTAAGGGTGGAAAACCCCGATATATTGACAGATTCAATCGTGACAGGAAATCTTAAAAATAACTTGTAAAATTTAAAGCTGTTAATTGCTTATAGAAAATGCAAAAGAAAATTTTCATTCATATCATAGGTAGATTTGTGACTGTAACAATTTCATGAATAAGAAAGTCTAGTTAGAGATGCCTAGCATTTCTGAGTGTTCTTCTAGATTAGAAAGTTGGATTAAAACATTAAACTGTATTTATTCGATGGTACTAAGAACGGAAACTTTGAGTAACTGCTATTAGTAGTATTCTAACAGAAGCATCTTTCCTATAATAGTGTCCAAATTTCTGACGAACTTGATATTCAACTTCAAACTGTCAATAAAATTTTCCTGAGGACCACGCAAATCGAATGGAGTTTTGTGAAGGGATACATAATGGGAAGGGCAAACAGAATGGTTCGATCGAGTAGTCTGACGTACTTCATAACTCATAATCATCATCAAACCTACTAATATTCCATACATCTTATATTTGTATACAAGCCATGTGCTTTTTGTGTGATATGTAAAGAGAAGACGACAATCTGTAAGAACTGTGACTTATACAATGTATGAAACACTATTAATAGCGCTTAATATTTAATTATGTTTAAACATTAATTTGAAATTCATTTAATTTCTACCCACTACAGATTACTTCGGATTAGTGAGGAAAATTTGTCAATGTCGGCACATATTTAAACATGCGAGGTTGCAAATTGCGCATAATTTACAGGTAATATTCCTTATTGACCATTCTACCATGTGGCAAGAACTCATGAGACACCAAGCCCCTTCAATCGAACAAAACTGTAAGCAAAACCTTCACATTCGACCTAACTTTTTTTCGGACTAGGCTCATGCGACAGTTTCCATTGGTACGATTGAACTTTCCGTTTTTTCCAATCCCCGAAACATTTTAAAAAATCATTCTCCTTCGATATCGCCTTTATCTCCTGAACTGTAGCATAGCGTCGTCCTTTCATGGGCCTCTTCAGTTTCGCAAACAAGAAAAAGTCACGAGGGGGCCAGATATGGGGTACGGTGGCTACGCCATTATTGTTGTTTTTTCCACAAATTCGCGCTCGAACAACGATGTGTGAGCAGGGGCGTTATCATGGTGCAAAGCCAATTTTTGTTCTTCCACAAATCCGGACGGTTCTCGCGAAAATTGCGCATAACTTGCAGGTAATATTCCTTATTGACCGTTCTCCCCTGTGGCAGGAATCTTGATTTCCCACTTCCCTGCAAACGAAGAAAATTCTAAGCAAAACCGTCATATTCAACCTAATTTGGCGCGCTTTTTTCGGTCTTGGCTCGTGTGGCAGCTTCCATTGGTATAATTGAGCTTTGGTTTTCACGCCATAACCAAACACTTATGATGCGTCACCAGTTATGACCCTCTGGAATACATTTGGGTGTTAGCAGACAGAGCCCAACAGCTCCTTAGCAATGTTAATGCAGGAGCCATTCGACATGTTTGGGTCCTTAGCAACTTCTCTAATGTCTATTCGAAGATTGCTCAACACAATTTTCTTCATTTCACCAATGTTTTCGACTGTTGTTGACGTGCTCGGGCGTTTTTCACACAAAATTTGATACAGGTTCTTTGATCCATTTTTTGAAATAGACAAAAATCGAAGACGAGATAAAACACGTGCGAGCAAAGCAGCTGTTAAAAATTAATGGAACATTCAACATGGCCGAACTTTTCAGTATGAGTGAGAAATATGAGTACCAACATGACGCCACAAAATAATCGAAAATCGAATGTACGTAACTAGCGGAAATTCAAAATTCGCGATACTTTTTGAACAAACATCGTATATATACATTAGTTTCGATGATTCTATGACATAATATATCTGTTATTTTAAATATGCTTCGTTGTTGTTGTTGTTGTTACCTTTTGTAGCTTACTGATCAGAACATTAGTACATAAAACCATGGAACCGGGTTCAATTCCCGGCAAGGCTGTGACAGCAGCAACAATTTTTCCTCATTGTTTTGAGGTAATCTGTAGTTTGTAGAAATTAAATAAGTTTAACATTAATAGTGCGTTTTAGAAAATACTACAAATGGCACAGTAAACGCCATCTGTAGCACGATGCTACATTTTAAGATTACGTATGCTCCAACAAGGTCCACTTGTGTGGATATCTACTTGATGAAACGAATCCCGGCGTAGTCAACCTCAACGTGATAGGCACGTTAGCTTAATCGAATAAAATACAGACCGCTTCGAATTAATTTCACATTAATGTTTAGACGTTATTACTATGAACTACTAGTAGAGCTAGCAATTAATTAACCTACCACATTGTTGAATAGTTTGTATTTATGATTAGTGAGAGACAAGGATTATGACGTGCTATGAATAAAGTAAAACATGCAAAGGATTTTTGATAAACAATTGGAACAGTTTTATTTTTTTATTTTTATGCTGGGTTGAGTTAGGTACCTACCCTAGTGACGAAAAGTGTACGTCATTTTTTATAATCGGGTCGCTCTCTTCCAAAAAACGTTTTGCCTTTACAAATAAACTACTAAGTTTGACGGTCAGCGTTTCTTGCATGGGTAACACACTCATGTCTGAAATCAAATTTACAAAATTTTTAACCGGTGCAGCATAATATTTAGTTTTTGGCGTAAACATATTCGTAATGTAAAGCCTAGCTCTCCGAATACTTTTTCTATTTAACTTGTATTTACTCTGTAGATGACGTCATAGTGCCCTATTAGTGTTAATACCGAAAATGAGTTCTGTCAAATACGAGAGGCCTAAAAAACATTTCAAGCATCTGTTTCAAAAAAAATTCAATTGTAATATTATTGAAAGTGGCTCTAAGAATTTGAAAAATTTCCTGTCTAATCACAAAGATATGGTCCCGATTATCGAGAAAAGCTGTTTACCAAATACTTTGCAACTCTTGTGGTGCCACTTACATTGGACAGTCTGGTAGAATTTATCTATACGCGTAAATGAACATTTGTCTGCAATAAAAAATAAAAAAAAATAACTCCAGTGGGATGGCCGAACAGTGTGAAAAGTCTTTCAACACTGGTAACGTAAAAATACTACATACAAATATACCGAAATTTATAAAACTACCTCTTCTAGAAAATCTGGAAATTAAAAAAGCTTTAAGTAAATAATTGCAACCTAGTAAATAACCAAACAGAGTTATCGACATATAACTCCCCACTACTTTTACATAAACTGTAAATATAATTTAATGTTTTAACCGAGCGGCATGGTCTAGAAGTTTAGACCATTGCTTAGCATTCGGGAGGACACGGTTCGATTCTTGGTCCAAGTTTTTCTGTGTTTTTCTTGGATCACTTAGGCAAATGCTAAGGCAGTAATATTCCACAGATAATCTTTCATTCTCTTCTGTCTTCATTTCGTCCGTCTCATCTTTCTCACCCGAACCACCACCCACCCATTCCCACGATTTCTGAAAGGAGGCTGAAGAGGGCCTTCCGGCGTAGTCCGGATGGACTGCCCGCCCACCAGCATTAGTAGCTGGTGGGAATGAAACACCCAAAAGTTTTTTTTTAACTTTAGTAATCTTTTGTATATGTTAATGACCGAAACAAATTTGTCGAGTCGGTTAAAAAATATTAGTGTGACTTTCCTGTTTGTTTTATTTTTGAATACTTGATTTCGTTTTGTATATGTTAACGAAAATACGTCGTTGTATTCAATTCCTAGGAAATGTATATAATTTCTAACATCGCTCGGAAATGTGTGAAATAAATTATATTGGACACATTTCCTAGAAAATCTATACATTTCCAAAATGGCAATCGGAAATGTATTACATTCAAGACGTCAATGGTTACGCGGGGTTAGCGGAGAGCGAGGAGGGGTATTACGTCATCGATAACTCTGATTCTCAGTTTACTAACGTGTTTTATTCATTTTATTCACAGAAAGTGTTAGTTTAATACATTTCCTAGTAGAATATCGGAATTTCATACAATTCCTAGGAAATGTATACATTTCCTAAATAGCTTCGGAATTGTATATATTTCCTAGGAATTGTATACAATTCCCAGATTTCATACGTTTCCGGTAACATAATCTTCAATTTGCGTCCAGCTTTAAATTTACATTTTTGAAAATATATATTAGAATTAATTAATATAACCATTTTTTTTTCATCCCTCAATTGCTATCCCATCTTAACCAAGAACTTTAACAAACGAAATGCTGGTATTCTTTTCAGAATGGATCAATTAGTCTATAAAGGCTTTTTTGATGTAAGTACATTAAGTTAAATGTTTTTCCTACCTATATCAAAAGCTGTTATAAATGCTGCAGTAACACTGACTAAACCAATATTCCACACCAAATGCATTCTCACCAAATAATATGGGATGATAACAACAAATAAAATTTTCTTGCAACAATTTTCTTTTTATAACATCCCATTTTATTAGTCATAATAAGATTTTTAGAAACAGAATAAAACTCTTGTGTTTCATTTTATTCCAGTTCTGTCCTAATCACCTAAGAATGGAAATATGTGTAGTAAATGCCTATTGTCCTCATACTTTAGCAGTTTAGCCTTTTAAGGTAACCCTTATACGGTTTGTGTATATATTTTTTATTCAGTTTACTGTTTGTAATGGTAAATAATACCCTACCAGGTGCAACCTTTTTATAGAAATTATAAACAAATACTGTCTGATAATAATTCCATTTGTCGTATCTTGTAAGAAAATTGAAATAACAAAAGAATAGTGATGTTTCAGTTTAATTTTAATATTCTTTTTAGTCGTTAGAGAGAGATTTGCTTATCATTATTCAACCTACTTTATTTTATTATATAAGAATTTTAAATAATTTCAAATGCATACAAACTAATCAAAAATCTCTTGAATGCCCTTTTGTAAATAGTAATAGGCCGATTTGGTCCCAATGGTCAGGTTCTGCGAAGACCTTTGACGGTAACCACCTTTGTTAATTTTATTATCGAAACTCTTCAATTGATTTTTTCGAATACAAGTCCCAATTGATTATATTTTGAGAAAAATTATCTAAAAGAGTTAAAAACTCTTGTGAAAAACAATTTCCGTGATATGGAACGTCAACTTTATTGTTTCTATTAATGTATTAGATAGGCATGTATTAGTTTATTTACCATCGTTTCTCTTAATAAATCAAAAATAAAAAGTATGAATATATACAGGGTATTTGCGAAATAAGTAGTAATCTGGCAGGAGGTAATAGGGCACTACAAAACAGAAAAGTTAAGTAAATGTTTAGTGATCCAAAAGTCCACTGTTTTCGAGAAAAGCTTATTTGAAAGTACAAATCATGGTCTGGTAGCACCACGCGGGGAAATAGGACATTGCAACGCCGTATTCAATCAGCTTCTACATACATACATCCGTGTTGTATTTATTTTATAGTTTTGTACTTATGTATTGTCTGTTATTTGTTGGATTAGATTAAGCAATACACCCAGCCCCTAGTTGTACTACTGTTTTAAGGTGGTAGGTTTGTATTACTATGTATTACTAATAGACAGTTGAAGTCATTACAAGTAGGTCAGTGTGTCAGAGTGACCCATCCGTGAGTTTCTAGACGAACAAATTTCCGTACTTTTTCTTTCCTTGCATATCAGTATTTTTTTTTTTGTTTCATTTAATTTATATATATTCAATAATGTTTTGTCAATATTGTTTCCATTTTTTTAAAAGTTATACTAATTCCTCCTTGCTAGATGCTAATACTTCTGTATCATCTGCAAATCTAAGCATACTAATCCATGTAACTATCTGTTGTCGCCGTAGTTTGACGACTTTTAAGTATATATTTAAGTTTTTGGAATTACGCAAATGTAACTTGGTTGTTATAAAAAACTGCACTTGGTTTTTTAACTATATATTTACAACACTTAAGGATTAACAAAAACAAATGAATAACAAAAACTTACTTATGTAGAGAATGGACTGTATAAAATTGTATGAAGGAAAATAGAAAGCGAACCGAAAGAGCGAATGATTGAACTGAAGACCAAATTGCAACTGCCTGAAAGAATGACTGAACTCCAGAAATTAGAAAAAATAAAAAAGTGGAGGAAACAGTTTAAGGGTGGAATTAAATTCAAATTGGAAAAGGTTGATTGGTTGGAGAAAATGTAGAAGATCGTGATTTGTTATGAAATGAAGACAGGGATACAGAGGGGTTGAAAGCTAGTGGGAGTACCAGAAGGGCATTAACCGGTACTTGGGGTACCGACACACGTGCAACGCATCTTTAGAAATGTACCGTTTGCGTCGATTTCTGGGAAACATAACCCAAGCGAAAACCCAATTGAACTTTATTGGGGTGTTCGTGTTCGAATAAAAGAAATTAAATATTATAGAAACTAGACACAATGGTCAATAAAATCTGTTGAATTTCGATGGTCGGCAAGCTACAATTCCCAAATAACTGCAGTAAAATGTATCCATTTGAAAATTCTATGATAATAAGAAAATAACCATTCTACTAGAACCATAAAAATAAATGTCGAAAAATANATTTGAAAATTCTATAATAATAAGAAAATAACAATTCTACTAGAACAATAAAAACAAATGTCGAAAAATATACAAATACTAAAATGAATAATGCGGCTCAACACTATCCTTACAATTGTACTGTCTTTAATGATGTTGATCGCGTCTTCGGTGTATAGATTAAAAAGTTGTGGTAACAGTAACATCTTGTCCCATTTAACATTGTCAAAAGCTTTTTCTAAATCTACAAATCCTATGTACACACTCTTTTCTTTTCCTATCGTTTTCTCTATTGTTACCTGTAAAGCTAGAATGACCTCCCGCGTTCCTCTATTTCTTCTAAACCCTAATTGAACTTCCCCTAGTAGTTCTTCTGCCCTTTTTTCCACCCTCTTCTGTACAATTCTAGTTAAGATGAGAATATTGAACAAAAATACAACCAAATGACTTCGAAAGAAAAGACAAGCAAAAAAAAATCGGTTGTCTGTAAAGTCGGTTTACTGACGATAGTTGAACGTGACAACGTTAAAAGAAAATACTGATGCAATGGTTTCATTTTTCTTCGTTAGTGTTGTCGTTTCCTACTAAATGACATTACAATCGCAATAAATGAGGTGAAGCATCAGAACTTGAGTGACAATTGACAAACCAGTTAGTTATCTGTTTGTGCAGTCCTTAAATTGAAATTGGCCGATTGATGAGTTACAAGTTGCGAAATGCTTAAATGTGAACGGTGTAGGTGCTTCTAATGTTCCAATTACTTTCGATTTTTCTTTTTCTAACGTTCTTCTTTCTCGTTATCATTCCATATTCGTTAACACTGGTCCTTTCAAAATGGACCTAATTCACGTATCCCGAAATTCTGGGATATCAGCTCAACCCAACTTGTAGAGTAATGAGTAGTGCGAAATTTAAAAGACTAATAATTTGTTACGGTTTATTTCAACTACAAACCTTTTAAATATAATTGAATAACAATTTAAATGATTGATTTAAGTGATTAATACATAGTATCGCTACATATACTCTGCCAAAGAGATAATATTGAGGGCATCCATCAAAAATTTGCCATATTCCCGCTGATCTTTTTCGCTTACGTCGTTGAAATCTTGCAATGTTAAAATACTTCGAATATCCACCGTAAAGTTTCCCTATGGACAATGCAAAACAGTTCTTATTAATCTCACGTCAAAAATATTATATCACAATACGTTTCATAATAAAATCCGTGACATTTTCGTAACTATTTGAAAATGACCAAAAATATATAAACTTTAGTTACAAATATTATGGAGAAATAATATTGTTTTACCCTGGGTATGTTTGTCAATATCTGATTGTTAGTAAACTTTGAACAGGATAATCGAGAATCAAGAAATGCTACAAAGGAGACTGATTAAATGTTTAAGAAATACGGTTTTGTGATTTTTTTTCCTACTTTATTGAATGGTTTAAATGATATTTGCTAATAAAAACGCTTTAAAACTCGTGTTTGCATTGCACTCATAATTTACCTATAGAAACGAGATAGCCGATAGTAAGACATTCTAAAGACAATGTATTACTGAATTAATTTTTTGAATTAACTTTACCCAATGCAGATAACCTCAAATTGATCAGGAAAAATTTTTTCAGCGCACTCTCTTGCCTGGAATCGAAGCCGGGCTCCTGGTTTTACGCACCAGTACTCTTACCGCTAAGCTGCAAGGTTATCTAGAGTGGGTTAAATTAAGTCACTAATACATTGAATTAACCCTACAAAAATTGAGAGTGTCTCATTCTGAAGGTAACTGACAATTATTGCTCGTATTCCATTTAGTTCATACGTTCTCATCATCATCATAAGGTCGTCAGTCCTAAGACTGGTTGGACACGCACCTCCATCCTTTCCTATCCTGAACTAGTCTTCGCATTTCCCCAAAACTAGAACAACCCACATCCTTAACTATTTGCGAACAATAATCAAATCTAGGTCTACCTCTACCCCTCGTAACTTCAGTTTCTGCCTCTAATATGTCTCTGACTAGACCATCATACCTGAGAAGGTGTGCTACCAACCTATCTCGCCTATTTTTTCTTGACTTCCATAGAGTCCTTTGTTCTCCTATTCTTTCTTATATCTCTTCATTTCTAATCTTCTCTATCCACGTTATCATCATCATTCGCCCCTAAATTAACAGTTTGCGAGCATAGAAGTGACTTCTTTTTATTGAAAGCGGCTCGATCCTGCGGTATCCTCTGCTTTATATCCCTACTCTACTACACCTTCCGTCCTGATTTACCTGACTTCCTAGATACCTAAACTCAACTACTTCTAATACATTCATTCTAGTGCATTAAATTTTTGTTTGATGTCGATTCATAATTTTATAAAATTATCGAAAAATTGTAGTAGTTTAGATTAGCTTATGGTGCGAATGGATTCAAGTACTTTGCATCACCAACAAGTCCAAATCTGGACAAGTGAGCTCTAGCTTTTTGTAATGGATTATTCTATTATTTACTTGAACAATTCGCAAATTGACTGTATGGCAAAATGATTATTGTTGATAAATAATTGTAACCAATTCTTGAATTCCTTTTCGTGGTTTTAATTTGTATTTTATTTTTCGTTCCGTTTGTATACTTACAGCCAAATTTTCTATTTGTGGTGAAACAGAAAGCTGAGTGAATTTCTTACTATACCCATCGAAGTATCCAGTTACTTTTAGTGTTAAGCCTTCTAATTCGATACTAAAAAGAAAAGGATTCTGTTAGTCAAAGAATTAAACTAATTATTATGCTTAGTGTTATACACGACGATTTCTTCCTTTGTTAAAATTTTTAAGTAGTAAATGTAAAAAAGAACATTATTTGGAAAAAATAGGTCAGTTAGCTACATGGCTAAATGAATAGTTTTGTGCTCAGAGGTACTTGATGCAGTCTAAACTTTCTGTCTTATCGATTTTATTTATCAGAGAATAGAAATTATTTGCAGATTTGAATTAGAAATTGGAGCTTCTATTGGCGGAAGGATTTAGGCTTCGAGTTTTTAATGAATACTTATTCATTGAATATTTAAAAATGTTTTATCTGTCATGCATTCGTTAAGACTTTCGCGGCTGTTTTTTGTGGTGAATTGTTTCTTACATGTTTTTAGACCGTCATCTTGAAGGACTACTATTCTTCGACTTTTTGCTACATAACGGTTCCTTTGTTGAAAATGGATTCTCTAAATTCAGTAATAATCCTTCAAGATGATATTTATTGATACATTCCGTGTCTGTAAATATTTGTAAAACAATTGCTTTCAATATAAATAGAACATACTTACTTCATTGAGCTCATGTGTAGATAAGGATGGTCATCCATTTTGGCTGTCAGATTTGACCCGTGCATGTTTATAAGATCGAACGAAAACATTCCCCTAATAAATCCTGTGTTGTCCACGGCAAAATCTGCAGTAAAGTCTGACAATCCGTACGTCGTTAGGTATGCGATGTCAAACATATTAAACAACCTATGAAATACAAATGAAATTACTTTTACGATTATTTAAACTATGTATGTATGTACATATACCATCAACCTTGGATTTCCACACGTTACAATTTTACAAACAAGTAGAAATTAATAAGAGAATAGTGTTGAATTTAAAATAAATTCACTTGTCTATTTTATTTTACATATACACATTTAAGACTTAATTATCCAGTTTCTTTGATTATAATTAGTTTAATGTATGTACCAAAAAAAATATGTAAACTAGTATTTAATTGTATGAATTGTGACCTTGAAGAAATCTGCGCGAAGATATAAAGAATACACACTAGGCGTGAGCAAGACAGAAATAGTTGGAACAAGCTTGAACGAGCAGAGCTCTCGATGGGCGGTCTTAGGAGATCGGCTAGAACTGTACAGTACTAGACGAAAATGTTTAGCAATTTCTTAAAACAAAAATGTATATAAATTAACAATAGAAAACAAAGCAAGAGTTTTATAGGTGTGTAGAACGTTAAGTTAATTCACTTGTTATTATTTTTGGCTAAATATGCTTTTAAATAAAGCTTATTCTTAAATTTTAACGAGGCAGTTTAAATAATTTTGCAAATGGTACTGTACACTTTTAAGCTACGCAGACAAATATGATTGAATTTGGAATTATGCTACGGCGCATCCTAATAAAAAGAAGGCGCACATCCCCAACTTCTTGAAACGAACAGTATGGTTGTGTTGAAGTAATATATGTAATTGTATGTTACTGACAAATGTCATACAGCAATCATATAAAATGCCTAGAGATTCTATAGCATACTGGGTGGAGATTGAGTAAAATTTTAACGGATTTGAGGACGATAGTTTAAAACTTCCATCATAATGAATTTTGAAATGGTTTTGGTTTTTACACCAGCCATATCTAAAATGTTTGTTTCTCTTTATTGTTGCAGTATCTTTTAATGAATTTGAGGTTATATTTCCTAAGGCAACTACAAATGTAATTACGCAGTTAATTAATGATTGTAGGATAATTTCATATTTAATATATGTACGAAACACCAAGGGATTTAATAATGCTTTACCAAAGTGGTATGTGACTAATTTGGTACTAGTAAAAGATCTCAGTTTCCAAAATAGCGTTTAATATATTGGAAACCATAAAAATTATACTTTTTTAATATTTAATAATTGTTTTCTGGATCATAAACAATTCAAATTAGTTAGTTCAGTATTTGGAAATAGGTTATGGAGAATGTTCAATTTGGGGAAAATGGATTTCAGTGTTTTTTCATCATTAGAAAACCTACCTTATAGAAACTGTTACTAAAGGAACATTAAAGTTATGTATTTTTTGCTTGTTGGAGGTATGCACTAAGGACATACGATAAATGAGATCTTTTCCTACATAAATATGCCGGATGTGTGTACTGTAATGTTTTACGTTATTATGTCATAAAATGACGTTCATGTTCCTGAATTGGAAAATAAGAGAAATGGTATACTAAGGTGCATTAACGTCTGAAAAGAATCAGGGATTCGGAAATGATGCTTGCCGCTGTTTTTATGTATCATAAATTCAAATAAACATTAGTACTATTATTTGTCTAAGTACCCTGCAAGAACAAGGCACCGGACGGTTAGCCTCTTCGTCACCCCCAAAAGCCGCCCTTGTGAACAGTAAAAGAAAGTCTCGCTGTCTTGTCAAGGGGTGTCCACCCGCTCGATTGGATTGNATTCAAATAAACATTAGTACTATTATTTGTCTAAGTACCCTGCAAGAACAAGGCACCGGACGGTTAGCCTCTTCGTCACCCCCAAAAGCCGCCCTTGTGAACAGTAAAAGAAAGTCTCGCTGTCTTGTCAAGGGGTGTCCACCCGCTCGATTGGATTGGGTACCCAGTCAATTCCAGTCGATTTAGATAATAATAACCCAACTTGAAAGTTCGGTTAAAATAGTTCAAGCTCGTAAATGAGCAGCCGAACTCGATCTTTTCAATACAATACATTGGTAACCTTTTTCCTTTTTTAGTCATTTATAATATTATAATGGGAGCACCCAGTTAAACTGTAACGTTGTTGCGCCCCTGACTATATGCATTATTAACTGAAGAAAAACTGCGTATTCTTTTTCAGACCAAGGAAACGTTTTATGTGAATACACTTATAAAACCAATGATCTCGCCGTTGGAGGGTGTCATGTTTTACAATCAGTGCGCTACCGTCGATGAAACGCGTATATGTGAATAGCCTTGTACGGCTGTGACCTTATTTTCGAATTCGCGCATTTCATCTACGTCCTTGTAAAACGGTTCTAATAATTCGAATTCCCGAAATAGGAAATACAATTATGGGGAATGTGGATTATCGTTACTGTATTTTTAAATGAATTTTGGGGTTTACAGAATGCATTAGTGAATTAATCTTTGAATTAACTTAACTAGCAACGATTATTCCTTATTAACTTATGATTATCTCTATTAGGTAAGATGAATTCAAAAATTAATTCACTAATTCATTGGATTTAACCCTAGAAAAATTCAGTGTCTCTGTATACAGGATATATAGAAAAACGTCCTTTTTTTTTAGGATTTCCCAAATGAATATTATGAACAACTTCTATTTGTAAGATTCTAGATTAGGAAGACTGACAATAAGTCTTACCCTGTCACCTCTTCTGTAACAAGTGGGTCATGTTCATTAAGATATGATTCAACCCGATGAATTGCGATGTTTGCCTTGTCGACAACACTGGCACGTTTGCGGACTTCTGAAATTTGTGAAAAAAGATTTGTATTATTATTAACGTTAATGCAATAACGACAGATATAGGATTATGTTTTTTTTTATTATCTATAGTTAATGGAAGTCTCGGATGAATAAAACAGGCCGATAAACGCTGAAGTAAAAAGACGAAAAAGTCAAGGCAAAATATGTCCTTTCACATGTGACAGGGCTGAGTAGTTATTAAGTTTAGCAAGTTATTATTTAAATTAATCGGAGTAATCCATTAGTGTATTCTTTATTAGGAAAATAATCATTTGAAGATTATCACGTTCTGAGTGGAATTTATTTAGGAATTTTTATGAGTATCTATGTCATCGGTAGGTCAGTGTCAAAGCCATAACATTAGCTGTATGCACTGTAGTTTTTTTTTAGATTATAAATCGATTTCTGACCTTTTGAGTTGATATGTATTGTTTGGGATGAATCGATTATTGAACTGATCGATTCGATTCCTAAATAATCAATTAAATTTTGATTTATCAAATACAAAAAAAGATAGAAGAAGTGGCCGATTTTAGGTATCCAGGGAGTCAAATAAAACAGGACGGAAGGAGTAGTAAGGATATAAAGCAGAGGATAGCTCAGGATCGAGTCGCCTTCAATAAAAAGAAGTCACTTCTAGGCTTGCAAACGGTTAATTTAGTAATTGGAAAAAGGTCGTTAAAGGTATATGTTTGGAGCGCGGCGTGGTATAGTGTTACAGGCGAATGATGAGGATACCGTGGATAGAGAAAGTTAGAAATGAAGAGGTATTAGAAAGAATAGGAGAACAGAGGACACTATGGAAGTCAATAAGAAACATATTAGAGACAGAAACGGGAGTTAGGAGGGGTAGAGGTAGACCTAGGTTAGATTACTGTTCGCAAATACTTAAGGATGTGGGTTGTTCTAGTTTTAGGGAAATGCGAAGATTAGCTCAGGATAGGAAAGAGTGGATGAGGTGCGTGTCCAACTAGTTTTAGAACGGACGACCTTATGACGATGGTGATAATCCGATAACATTCTCAGCCCTAGTGTATCTACACAGTATTATTGTCTTTTTTCTTTTGTTTGAATTTTGTTTATTTATAATTATTTATATTTATTTATAATTT